CGTTTTGTTCTTCAATCTAGTTGTGGAGGATGTTGCTTCACTGGCCCAAGTTGGCACCATCATTGCGCTCTTCTCTGGCGAGGCAGATCAGTCACCACCTTCTGGACGGCCGCTCATTGCGGCTGCTGGCCGCTCACACTGGCTGCTGGCTGCATACGGTAGCCCATGGCAACCCACTGACATGGCTGATTTACTTTAAATAAATAATCATAAAACAAAGGAATGTTATAAAATAAAATCAAATATTAAGGAAAGAAAGATGAAAGAGGAGAAAGCTGGTTTCTTTACTATAAACAAATCCCACTTTGCATCTTTTTAATCCACTTGGATTTCCCCCTCTTGTTCCCTTCCTGTTATAGGCACTAAATAAATATTAGAAAACAGTCCCTTCCAAGCATGTGCTCTTAGCCTTTCCTTGTTTGCTTTCGCTCTCTTCTAGAAAAGGAAAAAAACAGAACTAAGGGTTTTGGCAGCACAAATACATAAGCACCTGCCAGTTTTTAAATTTCATTTTGGAAAATCACCCTTCACTTATGGGACTTGTCCAGAATCACAGCTCCATTAAAGCTGTGATGTTTTTATCTAAAGTAGTGAGATATATATAAACACGTGAAAGCAGCACCCTGTCATTTAAAATGCCTCCTCTAACCCTATCTTCTGATTTGGTTGCCTAATGCTATAAAAGTGGTTCTAGAAGCATGAATGCTCAGCCTGAACCGAGCTGGTGAACTTCCCATTTACAGACAGTAGCACTACAACTCCATTTTACGAGATTTTTTTCTCAGTGTAGACTTTCACCTTCTTAGTGCAAATGATCTCTGAAGGGTAGTTTCTATCCCATTTTCCTCCAGTTTTAAATGATGCATTATAGTCATCTTTACAGCATGATCAGCAAAGAATCAATTTGAGAAGCCAGTTCTATTGGCAGATATCTGAAGAACAACCAAAAAAAGCCACCCCATCTGGGTTTTTTGGTTCCCTTCATTCTTTCCTTGCCAAAAATTCTTAATTGGGTTTGTAAGAGAGGAATTTTAGAAATTTTGTTTTCCTGACATAACCTGTGAAACTAAAGCAAAATAGATTAGGCCACGTGTGTGGGGGGGCCGGGAGGGGGTTGGGGGGTTATGGGGTGGATGAACTTACCAAGAGTGTTACTTTCCCATCTAAATTTTTTTCCAAGTAAAAACCCTCCAATTGTGTGGTTTTTAAATTTTGAGACTTTCTTGGTCCATATTTTGATTACTCTCATAACTAATAACTATACACAGAAAGAGAATTTTTTTGTAAAGTCCTTGTCGTATCCATGAATCTGCTTCCCACTTTGGTGCAACTACCTAAGTCATATTTTTTTCTTGCAGGATCGTTCATGGAAAGGCAACAAGAAAGACCTGTGAACTGTGTAAAAGAAGCTTGTGATACATACACCATGTCAAGATGCTAAATTTTTTGTGTTAGCCTCTAGAAAAGTTAAAATTCAGTTCAGAAAAATGTACTATGACCAACCAATATTTTTTAATGCCATTCATAAGCTGTTATAATAATGTCATTATTACAATATTTGATGATGTTGCACATACATTGTAAAGTCTGTATTCCAGCTTTTAAGTAAAATATAAGCATGTTAAACACCTTATTTAAGTATTGATAATGACACTGTATGGTGGCTGTTCACCAGTAGAAGGAAAAATTCATTAGCCAAGTTCTTCCAAAATTAGATTTTTAAGTTGTATGAAACCATTAATAGCCTTAAAAGCTTTAATGAGTTTCCACTAATAATAATCTAATTTAATCAGATGATGATAGTGATTATGTATTATATATGAGTATAGTATCCAGTATCAGCAAATTTGCTCGTCGGGAGATTAAGGATAAATGATCAGAATTTGCCACAATATTTATAGGGAAGAGTCAGAAAGAGCAAAAAAATAAAAACGATGACGTTAGTTTTGTTAAGCCTGATGATACTATGGCTTACTCTCATAAGACAACTGTATTGATAATTACATTTTGTTACTGTGCTTCTGCACCTGTTGGGCTGTTTTTGTTGACATTTGTGTTAACATATAATTAATAAGCATTCTACCTTTTTAAAGTTTATCTAGTAATGGAGTTTACATCTATTTGCATAACTGTCACAGCCCTGAACTGAAATTATTTTACAACAATGGAATTCTTGACTCAAAAAGTTAATATACAACATATCCAAAAAGCAAGTGTTTCCCATTGCTGTGAGAGTTACTGATTATGCAGATATTACCTCAAATATACATACACTGGTGTCACAGTTTCTCTGAGATGTTACTGTATTCTGAGAGCTAAATATTAAATGCTGTTTTTCCGTTTAAATATTCAGTTTCCTTTAGAAGATGATAATGATTATAACATTAATATGATTTTTGTTATTTTAGTGTTTAGACCTGAAAATCATCTTCCTTGTCTCATAAAGACCTAAATATAAAAGAAAATGGAAAATAATTGCTAGAGTTTTTACTTTCCTGATATTTGTTTCATCCTTTGTTGTTTATTATCATTTTAGCACCAACTTCACTCATAGTTCCTTTTTTTCATTGTAAAATGGATGAAATGAGCAAGTACATAAGAATTTTATTTCAGCGAAAAGTCAGGAGTTACTGTTAAAAACAAGACATGTAGGAGACATTTACTAGGAGTAAGAAATGGAAGTATGACCATATGGGCTGACAGCGCCACAAATAACAAAGAAAGGGAGGGAGTGCTGAACCAGGACAGAGCTGAACAAGTGATAGCTCAAAGTATCAACTTAGAAATATCAAAGTAAGAGCTATATGGATAAATATATAGATAGGGAGCATTTGTGATTCTGGCCTGCTGTACAAATATCAAGTCTAATGAGAGAATAACACAGAAAAGTGAAAATACACAACTTTAGAATTGTTAGAACTAAAATCTAATCCCAGTCTCACAATAATTTAACCATGCAATTTTGAGCAGATTATTTAAACCCGCTCTCAACTTCCATTTCCTCCTCTCCATAATGGGAGTAAAAATGTCAGGATTACTATATAAACTAAGATAATACAGTGATTCTCAAAGTTGTTTAGACTGTACAGCAAGGGGAAAGTCTGGGTATTCTTTGAAGAGCACGAGGATTTGAAAGATTTCCTGAGAGCACTTAAAGGGTATATTTACGTAACCTTGGAATTCAACCCTCAGCAACGTGAGGCCTCAAAGTTTGAGCCATTTTCCCAAGATAACATGGATGGTTAGATTCAGGGCCAGAATCTGAGTCTAGAATTTAGGTGTTCTGGTTCCCCAGATATTACTCTATCTAGTCTTTATACACAAGTAAGTTATAATTTGCTAAACAAAATATTGCCTTGTTTAGCAGGGACTTTGGCTTCAGAGTCTGTGTATGTTAACCACCATACCGAACTGTCCTTCAAGCTACGAGGTATGATCAGAAAATTCAGTGAATGCTGCTGCCACATGCTATCTAATGGAAAAGCAGGGATCTTCAATATGGGAAGCGGCACGTGGAACCTTACTAACTGTGTGACAATTTTCAACTTGTTCCATGCAGTCAGTCAGGTGTGAGGTATGGTTGAGAGGTGTGTTTTAAAGTATGCCGTAAATCATCCTCCATCATGACAACACTCCATGTCACACATCACTTCTGGTACGGCAATTTCTGTCAAATAAAAACATTACGGTATGTCCTTATTCAGCAAATCTGGCACCACGCCACTTCTGGCTCTTCCCCAAAGTGAAAATGATTCAGGACATCGAGGCAGCCATGACAGCGCAACTAAAGACACTCACAAAAGAGGACTTCCAGAACTGCTTCAGAAAGTGGCAAGAACGAGGGGACAAGTGTGTTTGAAGTGTGTGTGTGGGGGGGTATTTGAAGGGGAATTAATGGCAATATGTCTTTTACTGTAATTTTTAAAAATTTAAACATTCACCATATTTTTTTTATTATACCTCATATATTTGTTCTTATTACTCTCCTTGCCAATGATGGTGTTTAGCAAATTCTATTATTGGAAATAAACATGTATTCCATGGATTTAGTTATACTGCATATTAAGTTATGTTCCTTTCTATTGTCAGGAATATTTTCTTTATGCCTTAGGCTAGGCTGCACTGTTGATTAAAACACAAGAGTGCCATCGTTGTCCTTTTCTATCAGAGTTACATAGCATTTTGTCAGACTTGCAAATCGACCTTGTCTGGATTCCAAGAAGCAGCACTTACGAAGTTCTAGCCAAGCACTCTGGAATTTGGCATGAGTCATCCTTGTTGCTTATCTAACTGTAACTTGGGCCCCAGGACTGGTGACAAGAGTACCCTGAACCCCAATCGAGAGCCTGGAGCTTCACTTCTTCCTATGATACTGTCCTGATACCCATACTTGTAGCTCCGGGTGCTCGCCTCTGCTTGCCTACTTCCTCCTTGGACCTCCCAATGCCAGCCACTTGGATGCACCTCTCCTGTTTTGCTCTGCCTCTCTAGGTTAGTGTGGTCCCACATTCTCATCATATTGCCCCTGCCTTCTCTCTCTCTCCCATCCATGCCCCATCTCAGCTGAACGGCCCATTCCCAGCCCTGCTGATGTGATACACCTTGTTCTGCATGCCCACTGTACAACGTGTAAATATACAGCCTTTGTAAGCATTGACTAGAATGATTTGTCTAAAGCCCATCAACCCTTTCATAATTTTTTGGTCCTTCAGCCTACATTTCCTAGAATTCTTGAAAACCTGCTTACAAAGATTCAGTTTTGTCTTTTTAACATTTCTTGAATCAGTTTACTAAACGGCATTTTTGCCTTTACAGTGTTGTTTCCACCTTGATCTCTAAACAAACATCAGTCTTTATTAGTCTTGCCTTCAGTAGCCTGAAGTGATTTCTGACACTGCAGAACTGAAAGCCCCCCAAAAGATACCCATGTCCTAATCCTGGGGATAGTCTCTTCTCTGGCAAAACAGTGAATATTACCTTATATGGGAAACAATGTGACTAAGTTAAGGATCTTGAGATGGGGAGGTTATCCTGGATAACCTGGGTGGGCTCTACATTCCCTCTAGAACTATGAGACAATAAATTTGTTGTTATAAGTCACCAAGTTTGTGATAATTTGTTACAGCAGCCACAGGAAATGAATGCAGGAAAATACACGGGACAAATCTGTAATGGGCTGGACTGAATTTCGCAATGTGTGGAAAACATATCCTTTAACACCACTCCTATCTTCGTTCTCTTTCTCCTTCAATTTTGTTTCTCTGCATTCCCACTGTCGCTGCCAAACCACACCATCATCATTTCTCACCTGGACTATGACATCGTCCTCCTGGTCCACACTCTCTCTCCTCACCTAGGCACATGCTCTCGTCCGTCATCATTCCCACTTCAAGTCCTCCCATTATTTCCCACTGCACTTCAGATCAAGCTCTCCAACCCTCACCAGACTCCCACCTACTCTCCAGCCCCATCTCAGTCCACTCCACCTTGCCAGCCACACCTATAGTCAGATTCTCATTAGAACAAGCCAAGTTCTTTCCCGTATCAGGATTTTGCATACACAGTACATCCTGCATCTCAACCCTATCTGTCTACAACACTTCTCGCTGTCTGAAATTATCTCCTGTATGGTTTGCTTTTGTCTTCTGCCCAGCGGCTACATGGTTCCTGCACACAGTAGAGCAGTGTTTCTCAGCAGAGAGTGAGGAAGATACTCCCAAGGGACATTTAGCAAGGTCTAGTCATGTTTTGGGTTGCCACAATTAGGTGAATGCCATTGTAGAGGCCAGAGGTGTTGCTAAACTCCAAAATGCACAGAATAGACCCCCCCCCCAAAAAAAAATATCTGACCCTAAATGTCAATATTGCCAAGGTTGAGATAGCCTGCAATAGCAGCTTCTGGTACAGGGTACTAGTTGTCCCCCAATATCCATTCTTTCATCTGTGGGAATACATACCTTGACATTTGTATACACAACTGCCAAGCATAAAGACAGTATTTTCCAGTCTCATTGTAGGTAGAAACAGGCAGGAATGTCACATGGTGGCAATTGCTTTTTTTCTTCATCCATCCTGCTGCTTGAAACACAGACTCTGCCATCTTCAATCATGAGATTGGGACCATACAAGCTAAAGCACCACAGCAGAAGGACATTGTGTCCCTGACACTAAAGAACTCTGTACCTCTTCTGAATTACTTCTCAATAGATAGTTGAATAAATGAATGACACCAGGTATCCTTAATGCATTGTCTCTTTAAATGGCCTTAACAGGAATAAAAAGCCCAAAATATATTTGTCCTATATAGCACAAAACCATCAGCCTTTTTTTTTCTCTTTGCTACTTGTGGGGTCTCTTCTTCCCTGCTTTTTATGTTAAGGTCATGATTTTAAATGACATCCTTTATTTCCTCTGCAAATTCCTCTTTTTATATGTAACTTAACCCGTCTATCGGCAACATGCGATGTGCCCCCGCAGTATCTGTGCATTTCACACCATGAGAGTTTATAAGAGAAAGCCCCTGGTCTCTCCTTCCTAATCTTTATCACAACGTTTGCCACAAGAACATCGAGTCGCATCATGTACAACAGACACAGTGCATAAGAGCTTGATGTGGATTTGTGACAAAACTGGTAAAAACTTGTTTCTACAGGGCTTTGTCCTTGGTGATCACCCATTTTCCTAAATTGGAAATTTTGGCTTGCTCCGCCCTAAACCAGGTATCTTGCCTTCCCGGTTAGCCAGGTTTCTCCAGAAAGTATATTGCTCATTCAGAAACCTTTGTTCTCCCGGAAGCATCAACAATGGTAAAAAAATTCATTTTTTTTTTCTTCCAAGGGCTGCCACTTTCCTGAAACACAAGTCACTTCTAGACAACCACTTCTCAGCCAAGGGCTTCCTGAAATAACCCTCCATGCAAGTTTACTTCCTGAAAAGTTTTTTTTTTGCATTCTTTTTTTGTCTTGAAACAAAATTGATTTATCGCAAATATAAACAATTTAGAAGTTACAAAAAAAATTACAGTTAGAAGTTTGGTTAATGTTCTTATACAAATACTTAACAAAAATAAGATCTTATAGTACATACTATTTAGTGGCCTGGTTTTATTCCCTCCACGTCAATAAATGTTCTGTAACAGGATTCTTCATAGGAAAACTTACCTTTCATAAGTCATATACACATTGCTCAAGGGGTCAGGGTTTTTTCTAACTACATATATTCACACTCATATGCTCAATCCATGGCTACCCCCATTGAGAAATACTGACCCGGGGAACCAGTGATAGTGATGGGACCATGCCATAACTACCCAATATGTGAGGGCAGAAAAAGGGGATGGAACTCAACAACCCTAGGACATAGAATATTTAATTTATCCCTGTTGTCAGACATTTCGCGGGGACCCTTATTGGCAGAAAGTCCTCAGAAGCAGTAAAGAACTGTGATTACATGTACGACTACCTGAGACCAAACCCCATTTCCTTTATGTATTACCCACTTGAGTATCACTTCCTTCATCTTTTAAGTGATGATAAGCCTCATGGACTTTCCGAGAGGATTAAATGAGGTAACACACATTGTTAACCTAAACATGAAAGGCCTTTCAAAGTGAGAGGCAACAAGCATTTATTGAGATCAATAAGAATAGCTATTTTAGAAGGGTTGATTCAGACAGAAACCCAAATGATGACCCCATTAGGAGACAAAGACAATGGGTATTTATGAGAAAGGGAAGAGGAACAGTTACATCAATAGAAGGAAGGCATTTCTATGGGTGCAGCT